TTTAGCATAAAATCATCAAGTAAAGCAATGTTTTCAAGATATTCAATTATTTGTCAATGGTCAAGTGTAGGTTCGTAACTAATATCCTTGGTTAAATATTATAACATACAGTTCATCAAATTTCTAGAGGTGTTCGACGCCCAGACAGAGAACGCGCTACGTGTGACTAAGATAGCTATTGTACAGTCTGCTAAACAAGTTATTTTAAATAGTTTTTAATATTTTTAGGTAATTAAATTTTAAAAGTGTGGAATAGTTTAGGGATTAAATTGGTCTAATTGGACTTTCTTAGAACGTTTTTAAAAGCAGCTAAAGATAGTATGTAGAATTGAAAATAATTATTATGCCATAAAAGGTGTTTTGGAATTCCTTCAACCTTTTGAAATTGAGTCAGAAAATATAAATTTTATAGGATAGCGGAAAATACCTATAATTTTTTTGTAGGCGTGGAAATAGTTTATATTTTATTTCTACCTTATTAAGGAAAATGGTACCTATTATTAATAACGGTTGTTTCTGAAACATTACTAAAATTTTCGAAATTTTGTTTTTCTACAAAATAATAAACTATACTATTTAGAAAAAAAATTATTTCTCTTATAATTTTATAAAAAATAACAGGGGAATATTTACATTTCTTGATCTATTAAACAAAACGATAAATTATCTCGACGAATGACACCATGTTCTAGTACGGAAGCTAGCTTTACATTTTTGTTGGTGGTTTCATGGGTTTCATATCAATTTTTTGTAATTGTAGTTTACACGTACATATACCTCTTAACACTTGTTTGCTTTATTAAAAAAGTGTGTTGTTGTGATTTACGTCGAAATAAGTCAAAAACAACTTGAAACCCCATATAAAATCAAAAAGGAGAAACGGAAAAAAATTGAGCCTGTAAATGAACACAACTCAGAAACAAAAATAGCTATCTAATAATAAAAAAATAAAATTTGATTCTTGTGCAGCTTCATCTATATCATTAACTGTTTTTGGTTTTTTAATGGTTTTTCTTGGTGATGAAAATTCCGATATCTCACGGTTATCTATTCTTTTTCTCTCTCCAGAAATGCGGACGACAGTGTTTTTAGATACTCCTGTGGCTGCAGCAACACGATCATTTACATTTTTAAATGGTATTGAAGGTGAATTAAAGTTTCCTTCTCTTCTCATAAACTCTATAACATTGGCTATTATTTCGCGAGATTGACTGTTAATCACGCGGCCTCTTAATTTGCTATTAAACTCCATACTTAAGTTCTATTAAACTGTAATGAGCAAAAAACACAAACGAAAATAAAAGAAATGTTTTAGCGAAATTTACATCTGACATTTACGTCTGAATGAAATAGTGAAATACTTGATGCGCAGAGTGTACTTTCATTGCGTAAATCCGTCGGGATGCCTGTCAGTAGTGCTTTCTCTGTCTAGCCGTCGAAAGCCTCTAGAAATTTGATGAACTGTAACCACTAAAACTATTGCGCCAAGATGTAGGCAACACGTAATAAGTGTTCAAAATGGCGGAGTTTTCTATCTCCTTTTAAAAGGCACTCAAAAAGCTGTGCAGTGTGTAACCCCTCCTGGGGGTTGTTCGGGTAGCAGGTAGATTTTAAACAGTCGGAGACAGAGTTCTTTGGAAATAAAACTTTCTTCTAACAATTTATATATAGACAACAATATGTATTTACAATATGTACAATGAAAAGGTCCTAACTAAAATTCGAATCGTCGTGTATTCGAATATTGTTTCCCCAAAATATATTTTGTGCGTCGGTTCGACGTGGCTCGGTGGTCCAGGATGGCGTGGCGAAAACGTGACAAGAGCTTAGGTTATGTTTACGGTAATGGAAGTTCCTCGAAGTCAATACCTTCGTGGGAGAGATCCACGGGAAAGGAAAACCTACAAAGTCAATACCTTTGCAGGCAGGGGTCGGGACGTCGGGAAGCCTACAGAGTCAATACCTCTGCAGGAGCAGGAGAGGAGAGTCTTACTAAGTCAGTACCTTAGTTCGACTGACGAGAATTAAATTCGGAGCTCTTTATATACTTGTCTCTACTTGGTAAAAACGGCTACATGCTGAACCATAGGCGTATCTAAAACGGTGTTACTGGGGAACATCGTTACAAGTGCGACCATTCTCCGTATAGCATTCCGCATAGTAAGAGAAAATCGAAGTCTGTGTTAATCAGGCATTTCAAACAAATGAAACGCGGTGATAAGGTTTGGTATGTCTAAAGGGTTGCGACATACGATGTAATCTATCTACAATACGTGAAATCATAAATAATGGATTAAATTTAAATATTTTAAGTCGAACACAATAAACAATATTTAAAAAAAATCGCTTATACATTTTCTATAAATTGGTAGGCTTGGGATCTCTATTTCAAATAAAAATAGCGTCCAAGATGGAAGGCTATGTCGCAACCCCTTTAGATTTACGAGAGCCCTTCCCACTGGCAGTTATTAGTGAACGTCAACTGAAATATCACAAAAAATGTCACTAAAAATCATTTAAGAAGGATTTTGCCTGCGAGAATATGACATTCTTGCAACAAAATCGAGAAAATTAGTTTTGAAAATGTTTAGATGTAACCGATAATGCAAGTGGACGACTTAATTATATGTACAATTTTTTTTAGTTTAGGTACCCGAGATGTTAGTTTTACATGTTCTACATAATATATTTTTCACTTTATTTAATTGCGAAAAATATTTCAATTTAAAATATAAATAAAATATTTAATTTAAATGTAATTAATCATAAAATTAAAAAACAGTTCCACTAGATAACCCCTTAAAAACCGTCAATCAATAAATAAGAAAGAAAACTTATAAGTAATAAAATAGTGCAATAAATAAAAATATTCTCTGTAAAGAGATTACAACGCAATACTTGCAATATGTATATAGACAGACCGTAGTTCCGTACTTCAGGTGGCATTAAATACCGAGGAAGACAAGCGGGGGTCCCATTGGACTTCGCTTCGGAGAAACAAGAGAGAACTATTATACGTATAATTTGTCTTTGCACGAGCAAATAGAGTATTGCGTTCAGAGATATGATATGGATAAAGTTTTCTCGTAATTACCAAAACAAAAATAATCTAAAGCCTTAATAAACCTTAGTGTCCGAAAATGCATATGCCCTTCCATTGAAGAGGGTTATGTTTTAATATGAAGTTACAATTTTCCAAAATAAATCATGTATTAACAAAAATTATAGAGATCGATATTGCAAACAACTTTTAGTTCAAATATTTTCATAAAAATCAAAATGACATGACGCAAAAATTATAGATAATAATATTAGAAGTAACTTTTATTTTAACAATTTTCTTCTCCAAACGTAAATAACAGATATATTCCATAAAATATAAAAATGACCACCCATAAAGTACCCCCCCCCCCAAATGTTCCATCTCTGCCCAAAATCTAATCAGTTCATTGGACGCTGAAATAAAGCTTAAGTATAAAATTTGGTTGTTTTTCTGTGTATCGGTTCATGAGTTATGGTGGACACACACACACGCACGCGCGCGCGCACGCACGCACGCACGCACGCACCTTCGCGCGCGCTCGCACGCACACCCACACACACACGCACACACACGCGCGTTTGTTTTTTTTTAATTAATAATATTCTTTATGTTTTATTTTTATTGTACGAGTATTGTTCTGGACTAATTTTATTTTAATATCTACCTATATACCTTTTTGAGATTTTTTTAGGAAAATTTAACTTTAAAAAATGGTTTATATAAGCAATAATTTATTTTTTAAGAATATAGCTGCATTTTTACTTTCCTGCATAAAGTAGGAAAAGTATAAGAATTGTGATTTTTTTCGACCTCGAGTTTTCGATTGATCTTTGTTTTTGAGGTCCTTTGAATCCGTTTTTCCCATTTTTGCAATGATGTCTGTGTGTTTGTATCCACACTAACTTAAAAGTGGACAAAGAAAACTCAGGATTTAATCCATCTTGTGGAGAGCTGACTAGATTTTGAGCATAGTCTGAGCATTGGAGATACTTTATACTTGTAATTTTTCTACATTAAGGTATATTTCTGTTATTTATGATTATAGAAAAAAATTCTTTCAATAAAAGTTATTTGTGATGTCATTTTCTATAAATTTTTCGTTATATGGTTTTCCTAAAATAGACTGTAATAAATAAATATGAACATCCATGACGTCACGTCCATGATTTTTAACGTGTGGCTAGTCACGGCGTTTTTTTTTTTTTGTTTTTTTGTTTTTTTGTATGTGTACTCAATAAAATCAAATTACCATAAACCTAACCCCATAAACTCTTAAATTAACCAGCCTCCGATAACGTCACACTAGTAAGGTCAGTTTTGTACGGTAAAATTATAAAAAAAAAATAATAATTTTTACAGCATTGTACAACAATTTGATTTTGGTCGTCTGGCAACACTGGTGATAAAGGAGAAGAGTGTGGGAGTACTCTCATGAGTAGAAGAATCTACCAGATTTCCAATAAAATAACTAATTTGAGAACTAAGATTTTTATTTCAACACACAGTCACATAACAAAGCACAGCCGATCTACCTGGCTTGAAAACCAAAGATCGAATGCCCTGAACTGCATAAGAAATAACAAAGAAAAAGGAATGTTTTGACTGACCAGCCCTCGATGTCGGGTCGAAAGCATATTTCTAGGAAGTCAAAAATAAACAGGGGCGTTTACAAAATAATTTCTTGTACAATATCTCTGCTCCAAGTAAGTATTCTTTAAATGCACAGTTAAATATTTATTATTGGTATTTATTTTGTTCTAATAATATTTATTTAAATTAATAATAAACCTATTTTAAGAATGTTCTAATTTATTATTTATTGATATATCTTATATTTATTTAATAATAATAATAATAATAATAATAATAATAATAATAACCATCAATAACACGATTTCGATCGATATTATTATTATAAACCATCAAATTAATGCGACTACAAACTGGTTATAATAATCCCATCCAGTAAGTAACGCCACTGAATAACTAATCTAAAAAATCTGTTTCCAATGCGCACCACAATCTTAAATTCATTATTCAATCCCATATCTCATTCTGTAGTCCAGTACATAGTACATTTCCACTATTTCCAGTTCCAGTATATCGCGGTATTTCATTGAGTGAAGGTCGACAATATTCTTTTGAAAACATGGTTATTGAAGACGACAAATACGTTATTCACGGAGATAAATCTTCAATTCCGGTACCGCAAGAACTGTTGGGAGAATTCATTTTTGACAGTTTGTTAAACACGCATGTGGAGTACGATGCTTTGGTGAGCTTTAGGCATAACATAAATAAGTAGTTATACACTGTGTCCCAAATTTGACTCTCTATATTGATGGTATCTCGCTTAATATAAGAGATAAAAGATCTCTAATTGTTTGTTTTGTACGTACCACACTATAGTAAACAAAAAATCTTAATTCTCTATATCTTGTGCAAATTAATAATATCAACACAATTATTTTTTTAAATAAAGATATTTCACAAATTGTCTCAAAGCTCAGAGATGCTTTTACGTTTTACACTGTTGACAAGTCGCACAAAAAGCTTACTATCTAATTATTTATTATCAAAAATACAGCAGTTCATTTCTAAACATTTTACCCACCCAGAACCCCTATTCACTTCCTTTCAAGTAAAATTGATATTAATTAAAAGAAAGGCATATTTTTTAAAATTATTTGTGTCATTATTAATTTGACAAGATATAGAACTGGCTCATTTTTCGTTTTGAATAAGTAGTTTGTAGTGTATCATTTTATCGTTTTTCGCCATACATTGTATTTTGAATTATTATCCCCTTTAGTTTAGTTTTAATAATTTTTGGTAAATTAGTTAATTAAGTTGATAAGACTTGAAATTATTGAAACTGTAATGCATTAAATAATTTTGTAAAAGAACTATCCTTGTAATAAGGCCAGAAAGCCTGGTTGGATAGAATGAATTAAAAATAAATAAATAACAAAAAACTAAAAAATATCTCAGAATTTAATAATCAGAAATTTATATAAATAAAAAAAGAACTAAAGTGAAAATTAAAAAGAGAATAGAGAAATTAATTAAGAAAAATTGAAAATGATACTTTTACGGATTTTAATGTATTCTAGAATTTTATAAATAGTAAACAAAAAGAACAGCAAGTCTAAAATATCAGCATTTACTCTAAATGGAGATACCTGAAAAAAATTTGCTGAAAAATCTACTTATAACTTAAATAATTATATAAATAGTTTTGATAATTTTGATTTATATTTATTATCTGAAATAAATGAAAAAGATTTTAACAAAGCCGTAAAAACGTTAAAGCCAAAAAAGGCGGGAATTGATAATATTTCACCATATATTTGAAAAGGATGTAGTGACGCTTGTTAAAAATACCATTGTTACATATTTATAATTTCATTGTTAAAAGTTTTGTATTCCCTTCGCAATGGAAAATATCTTATTATACATCTATTCATAAAGCAGAAAAAACATCAGAAATTGAAAACTATAACTTGCTCTGTCTCAGAACTTTCCGATCAAACTATTTATAATCATAGTAGATAAACAGCACGGTCTCATATTTTAAGCAGAGTTCTTATGACATCCGATATAGTTCTATAGTTCCTGATACTTTTTATTAATGGTTCTGTCGAATTTGGTTTCAAAAACTGCAATTTAAAATATGAGATGCTAACGGCCGGAAGTTAGCATCCCAATATAATAAATAAAATAAAAGAAAAAAAAAGTAGACAATAAATCGATAGTTTACGAATAGTTATAGAGTTCTTGTTGGTTTTTATAGCTAAGTTATTTCATTTATAGCTCTGGCTCTCTTAAAATAATTATAAATAATTATTATAGGCACATATAAATTCTAAACTTTAATAAAATGCTATCATATTATGACAACTTCTAGGACACTATGTTTCTAAATTACAATGTTTCCAAATGGTAACTTGACTCTTTCTGCATTAAGACCCGAAAAGTTCTAGTCTCTAGCATTTTTTCAATAATTTTATGTAATAATAACAAAGAGAAATTTAGACCATAGTAAAATGCTGCCACATTATAACAAGTTATAGAATTTGTAATGCTTCTTAATGATATAACACATTATAAGTAATAATTTTTCAAAAGGTACTAGAGGCTAATACCTATAAACTGTGCTAATACTCTTTGGGATTTAATGTCGAGATAGTCTGGTTATCCTTAAAAAACGTTACATATTCTAAAACTTGACAAAATATTTATTTTATTTATTTATTACAATATCCAACAGGGTTGCCCCTAATTACAGGATAAGGAAAGGAATATTACAAGAATTAGGAATTAAAATAAATGATTATTCTTATCTATATACATAAACTTAAATCTAAGTAAACACGAATTTAAACAGACACGGGTGCAACCTGAAAAAAAACTTACATAAGAAAAAAAAGATGCATCCATTTCCTCCTTTAATAATTACTGCGCAAATTAATTTGTCAAAAAGATACTTCTAATAGATGCAACAGAGCAATTAAGAATATCTATATCATCTTCAATGTTCGAATAGTTTTGGATAATTTGAAATAAAGGCGATGCTTTGTATATGTTAATTATATGTACTTGTTGATAGAATAGTTGATTTCTTCGGAAATTAACTCTAGGGACGTGATAGTTTAATATTTCCAAACATGAAATACAATCCACCTTGTTATTTAATAACTTGAATAGAAATATCACTGAGTGCATTGTTATTCTTTTTAAAAGACTACATGTATTGAAACGGTTTAAATAATAACTTTGAGGAAGTTCTCTTATGGAATAGGTACTATCACTTAAAAGATAAGCTGATTTAAAAAATCTTCGTTGAACTCTTTCCAAATGGTTAATGTGATTGAAGTATATCGGACTCCAAACGATACTGGCATGTTCTAATTTTGACAAAACCAGCGAAAAAATAGTACATTATATACCTAGGGTGAGAAGTGAGCTATTATTTACCGAGCACTTTTATATCCTGAGGCGCGTAGCGCCGAGGTATATAATGTGCGAGGTAAATAATAGCTTTCTCAGCCGAGGTATATATAGATTTTTTTTTACTACTAACATTAATGTATTAGCAATTTTAATTTTGACATAAGTAATTTCCTAACAATTTGTTAAATATTTCGAAATATCAAGCAGACTGGAGCGTGTTTCTAATCAGACTGGCTTTATTTATGTAAAAATTTGGCATGTGTCAAATTTTGGTATGATTCTAGGAAATATCCCATTGCATTTTTGATATTTTAATGACATGGATTAAATTGTTATTAATTAATAATTTTTAAAGCCGGTGTTGAATTTCCTAGTTAATATATATTTTTACTGTTTACACTGATATATATTATCATATTTGATTTGATTAGATTTGATAAACCCAGCTTTAGTTATTTCCTACTTATTTTTCAAATATTTCAAAATATCAAGTAGTCTGGGAGTTTAGTTGTCAAATTAACAAAATGAAACTAATGAAATTTAGTTTCATTATTTACCTAGGTTTTTTTTTATTATCATTATTTACCTAGGGAGAGAAATATTACTTCTCATTAGAGGAATGGAGTAAATAATGGTGCTTTCTCATGTTAGTAGTAAAAAAAAAGTATTTTCATCGTTGAAAAGTCATTGAATAATCTCATATTCCTTATAACAAAACCTAAAATTCGATAAGCAGAAGCAGTTTTTTCAATGTGTGATGTAAACGTTAATTTTGGATCAAAGAAAACTCCAAGATCTTTAATCAGTTCTGGTCGATTTAATGTCGAATTTTGTAGGTTATAATTATATAGTATTAGTGCTTCCTTTCTAGTAAATGTCACTACATTACATTTTTTAACATTTAACGGTAACTAATTTCTTTTACACCATTCGTTTAAGCGGTTAAGATTCTCTTGAAGCAATAGACAATCATTATAATTAGAGATTTCATAAAAAAAATTTAGGTTATCGGCAAACAATAGATTTGTGACGCTCAAATTACAAACAATATCATTAATAAAAATCAGAAATAATAAAGGCCCTAAAACCGAGCCTTGTGGGACGTCGGTTGTTTGTTTGAAATTCATTGATTTATGCCCTAAACTCTAAACGATCTGATGGATATGACTAAACCATTTAATAAGGAGCCATGAAATCCAAGTGCTGAAAGTATATTTATTAGAAGTCTGTGATCAATTCTATCGAATGCTTTAGAGAAGTCAGTGTAAATAACATCAACCTAACGTCTTCTATCCAAAACTTCAGAAATACAATGAGTTATACAGATTAGATTAGTTACAGTAGAGCGTGAAGTTTAGAAAATCGTAAAAAATTTTTTTTTTTAAATTCAGGGTAGCTGATTACATTTTTGTCAAAATTAAATTAAAAAAAAAAAATGTTATCAAATATGATACATTATGCTTCGAGGGAAAATAAATATGGGACAAAGTACTATTTAAAATTTATTTATGTTTCAAATAGCACTGCGAAATAATCTCTTAGTTGGAACTCAAAAAAAACAGTTCCTCTTTTTGATTATACAAAAATTCAGTCTACATTTCGTGCAGATAACATTGGTAAATGCTTTACAGCTATCATATTTTTTCTTCAAATTGTGGCCAATGCTCAAATCCATCAGTACGAACAACTATTGTTGGTCTAGGGGCAGCAGATCTTCTTGTAATTTGAGCACTGGCAGGTCGACCACGTCTGGGAGTGTCACTCCTTCCAATTTTACACAGGAAATATGCTAAATCTATTCGAAATTGTTTCTGAGAAATTGTTGTTTTGCCGTTTATGTTAAAAAGAACCCAAGCATTGACAACGCACAAATCAAGCAAATGGTAAAATAAGCGAAAATACCATTTTTTACTTTATATAGTTATTTTGTGTCGCCCAATGTGAGCATCCATCAAATCTACACCACCCATGTGTCTGTTGTAGATTTTGATAATTTTTGGACAGGGAATGTTCACATATTGTTTTTCATTTCGGACATATCTGCGTATTGTGTCAATGGGTTCCACACCACATAAATTGGATGCCAAACACACAAGACTGTTATCGTTCCAATGAACAAGAGAAATTGGACAACCATCATATTCTGTTACAAATTCTTCTACAGTCCCCCTTGCACTTTTTTTCATACTTTTGTGATCAGTAACAGGGTTGTTTGGGATGCGATCTTTTCGTATTGTCCCCAATGCAAAAATATCCTTCTTCTTCAGCTTAGCCATGAGGGGTAGCTTGTCCTGAGTAGATTTCAAACTTGTAAGCGAAACC